CGGTGTGTAGGTATTTTTTGAACGAATGAAGCGGATTCGTTGTTCACATTTTTCGTTATGAAACGTGAGGGTAACGATCGGCGATACCCATTGGTTAAGGCCAGCGTTAATGAACGAAGATAGGAGGAGGAAACCTCCTACCAACGTGGCTCATGGGTGACCTTGTTCATGGGAAAACCCGGTTTTTCCCGTTATATAACTATCAGCTTTTTCCGTAATTTCTAAGAGCGCACAATAAACCTAAGGACTTTTCTAAGGACCATACCGAAAACATTTATGGAATTAAGGATTTGCACGGTAAAGATGAATAGGAAAAACTACTTAAGTTAAAAAGTCTAAGTTTATAGTTGGTCCTTAGGTTTATTGAGAGTCTGATTTACGGTCAGCGGACACTTATTAGCGGCAAAATAACGAGGGACGTTTATATCACTCGACGTAACACTTAGTATTGAAGATTATTGAAAGAAGGAAAGGGAAACATAACTATTTATGGTGATTTTCAAGAAGATAGGGTGAAAAGTTTAAAGAAGAAAATTCTACGAGACATTAAGCAAATTGTTTAAGTTTTGAATTATATTATCATTGCTTTCTTTACCACAGTTTTATTTCCTAGATATATAAACACTGTTTAAATAACATACATGTATATAAATTCTAAGGGACACGCCAGTAGAGTATTGATTAAAAAAATGATTTTTTATATTTTCAATTGTAGCGAAAATTTTTATATTATAAAATTCATTTTGGCTAAACGTTACGTTTCAATTAAACATCTACAAATTACTAGAATCCATAAATTTGTTTTCACTGCGAAAGAAAATAGCGTTCGAGTAGAACCAAATTGAAACAGAATGTCCGCAAGAGCAGGAAAAATAAATGGTAAAATAAATAAAGCTTTGATAAAAATACAAAATACGATTCGTTCGTCCAAACAATTGGAAAAGTTCTTATAACGGATATAAAAATAATTCTTTTTGATTTGTTCCTGAGTAAACGTACCATCTGTCTCTTATCGTTTCTTTCAATAGACACTTGGGCACGTTTTCTCATAGAAGTTCACACATGTCCTAAGATCCTGAGATTTTCTTCTATTTGTCGATCAGAGTTCTCACTTTCCTCTTTTCAGTTCGATATAACGATTCATAACACAAGTATATACTCGAAACATAAAAATATATAACATAGGATAAATCATAAATACACTTTGAATATTGATGTACATATAAATTATTTTAATCCGATTTATTGAAACAGAAGAAAGTATAGACCAGACAAATACGCTTTGGAGCACTATAGCTAACTATAGCACCGCTGATACTTTTAACATTTTCGAACTTTAAGAAAATAATTTGAAGAAGTCACTTGCATAATGTGGAAGAGCGTTGCTGATGCTAACAGATTTCAAGCTAAAATCATCCAAGTTGTCTATGAATATGTCAAGATATAATCAGAAACTGTTTTACCATCGGAGCAAGACAATAGCGCCAGCTTCACTTTTAACTTCTTTCAACTGTCTCTTTTATAAAGTGTTTAGAGAACACAAAGTTTTTCGATTAATTCAGACAATGCTACGCGATAGTTATCTCATCGAAGAAGAACAAGGTGCGATTTTAGCATACAAAGAACAAAAATTGAGAATTGTTGAAATCGCGTCGTAAACTCGGGCGATTTCATAAAGTTGTACTAAATTTTTACGTGGTCCTACTACGCGTGAAGAAAACAAGAATGGTACACCTAAAAAGAAGTTATCTTGCCGTACTGAAAGACAAATTGTTAAAGTTGCGCGCAATACACTAAAAAGTTACATTAAAAAGAAACCGTGAAGGAATGTAATCTCAACCTTTCTGGTTGGACCGTTCAACGTATTTTTAAACGTAATCCGTACATTACAAAACAAAAAATGATGTCTGCATCTACGTTCTTAAAACGCCACAACGTAGTCAGACTTCAATTCATTAATTTACAACATTAATAAATCGAGAGCTAAGTTTATGTTTAATATGCCTTACTTAATTCACTATTTAGCTTCGTAAGGAAGAAAAGTACTTCTCTAAGCATAATTCCAGTGGAGGAAAACTTATCATGTGGTGTGCATTCTGCTGGAGGAGTAAGCTTCAATTTTCTTTCCCTATTTCAAAAATGAATAGTACAGAGATTGATATTGATATTTTGAAAAATAATTTAGTACTTAGTAATTTAATACTTATCAGCAAGATAGTGCTCATATACATAAAAGCTGAGAACTCATAGCATGGCTTGAAAGATTTAACATGAATTAATTCACACAATCTGCATGCTTCCCAATCGAAAATCTGTGAGGCATTATGGTACGGCAAACATTCAACTTTTAAAAATTTTGTAGTTAAAAACAGTTATTACTGAAGTATAAAATCAAATTTTGTAGTTAAAAACAGTTGTTACTGAAGTGTAAAATCAAATCAGGAATTCCGAAAAATTTAATTAAAAGTATGCCAAATCGCATCTTAGAATTAATTGATAAAGGCGGAAGTCATACTTGTTATTAAAATTACTTTTTTTAACCACCTACATTATAATTTTATCATTTCGTTGTAATTTAATAAATTGTCATACGTTGTAAATACATTGGTACATATAAATGCTCACCAGAGAAATATTTTGTTTATTATTATTTTCAAATAAATTCAATTTGCAATTCAATTGAATTGCAAATTCAAATATTCTTTGGAATTTTCTTCATTACATATAACGTTGCCCAATCCCTTTTATATGATATTGTTAATACTTAAAAACCACTCCATAGAACTCCAGAACGTTCGAAAATTGATGCTGTGGTGTTATTGTTACGCTCAGAAATGTATATGAACTGCATAAAACTCCGTATAATTATGACTCCATAAACTGCATATATATTACTATAATAGCTGCGCTACCAAAAACTCCCATCTAAAATTATTACAAATTCCAAATTACGCGAACACCACAAGACGCGTATCTTTTACAATCAAAACCAACATCAAATCACAATTGCAATAGGAAAAATTCCCAGCTGCAATTAATACAAACTGCATCCTCCGTGCTACCGAGACTCGATACGAGCCGCCATCTGGCCAACCCCCAACACCTGTCGATTCGCATCTCCCCCTTCGCAATACGATCTCCCCCTATCAGGCTTGCCGCCTAATTGCACCAAACAATCTAGCAGCCACACCTCGATGACCAACGAAACAACCACCACAGTCATAAAACGTTGTAAACGAACTCGGCTAGAGGTTTGCAGAGTGCAGTTAGCATCATATCGTTTGCGAGGCATCGTCAAAGTATTTGCCGACCGAAGAGTTTTGGTCGATCAATCAAAGGGAGGAGAATGATAATTCCTTTGACGCAATGTTCATCATCATGTTGAATCGAGACCAAAGCCAAGAGAGAGAGAGAGAGAGAGAGAAAGAGAAGAAAGGTAGATATGGAGATATGGAGATATGGTATGAGAGACCCTCTTCTGAACCCGTGAGATCAAGATCGATTTGCCTGGACACCAAGGAAGAAGGCCAACGGCACGTTTGCGGCTGGTCGGCTCTCTAACCAGCCAGAGTGGGCCTTAAGTGATTGTCGACCAGCGATATGTCCTTTGACCACGACCGAACCAATCTCGTGAGAAGGATATAATCCGTGCAGGCTGGCATGATTCGATTAGAATCGATTCCCACCCTCTCCCAACCTTCGATACTCCTCCAGCCACCTGCATCTTCGATTACAGTGCCCTTTGAATCGATGCCAGACGCTAATAGAATGCGAGGCAACCTCGCGACTTCGTAAAAGGGGGAAAAAGAACCCTCCAGTGCTACGGAACGGCAGACAGAGAACTGGGGACTCGGTGGTAGACAGCGTGTAAGTCGTTGTATGGGTGAATATCGATGTTTTTCTAAGTCTGGTAGAAATAGAAGAGATGTTGGATATAAAGGATGATTCGCGCCGCTTGTCTAGGGGTGTGGGAGGGGTTGAATCGCTGGGAGATGGAAGGATGGTTAATTGTGATGTGTTGACGCTGTTTTCCTGTGGTGGGTGGTATTGGAGGAGGAAATGGTGGAGGAGAGTAGAAATTGGAAACTCGGTGGGGGTTAGGTGAATCGAAAGAGCGCATGCAATGGGAGGGTATTTAAGGAAATAAAATAACACACAGGTCCTACTTTTGCAAGAAAAGAAGATGTTACATTGATCCTGTACGAAAAAGAATGTAAAGAGATGGGTCGATCTAAAGAAAATGTTATCGCGTTTGAGAAAAATTGCAAACAGAAGAGCAGAAGTTGCAGGGAACATCTTTTTTGCATACTTTACAACAAAGACTACATGATGTTTCGATGTATAAAGAAAAGTTTTACAAAATCTCTTCAATTCAGTCTGACAAAAATTTAATTCAAACTTTCATTCGCATACAAACTGCAGGAAACAATTTGATAAATATGAGGAAAGTCAAACTCAAAGGAGTTTGTACAGTATACCGAAAGAAAACTACAAACAGACTAAAAAAGATACATTTATAAGAGGTGGAACTTTAAGATAAAGAAGTCATTCCCCTGACAATGCTTGAAAACCAAAATTAGAAAAGTTTTGATACATTTTCTTGCCACGTGTTAAAAACAACTTCGGTATAACGCAGCGGACTTTTTAATTTAATAAGATGCAATAAAAAATAACGATGGAAAATTATTTATTTAAATATTTATTTAAATAAAAGAATGGAAAATTTGTTCTACAAAAAAATTCTCAAGATTAGTAATATCATATATGTTTAATGACAAAGTACTAGCCGTTTTAGAAATGTTCGAGTATATTATAATATACTGCAATGAATATATTCCACCATACTGTCACCAAGCTAAAAGAAACAACATTAAATGATTATTTTACGAATACTTATAAATTCATCTAAACAAAATACGAATAGATCGTAGGTTAATTTAACCTAGTTTTAAAATGGTAAATTAATTGTGCAGATAGATTTAGCATATTTAAACTATGACCGTGAGCGAAATAGACGCTTATTATAGGAGCTATTAGCTATGTGAGCATGAGATTATCGGTTATTATGTGCAAAGGGAGTTCGTCTCTGCCGAAGTTAGGTTAAGTTACACAAGTTTGCGAACTACAGGCTTTGAAGTTGTCCAAACCTATTAAAATATAACCACACGTTCTCCAGAGATAGAAATTTTTCCCTTATTTTCTACAACAAATAAATTTAACTGTTTCATTGAATTATTGTAATTCGTTCCCGGTGGCACGAAGCAAGAATCATTTCTTTCTCGCTGATGATTGCTATTGAAAAGTTAGGTACACATATATTACGCAAATATTACTTGTAACTAATGATATCATGTTGACTAGATGTTAAAACTAGTAATTTTTTAGATTTTAAACTAGTAAGTAGTAACTAATAAGTTTTCTAAATTTTAAATGCTACGTTATATGGAAAAGTTCATCTAACCTATTCTCCTGTTACGGCTCAGCAAGAAAAATTTATTTTCTGTTTTGCAGTATTCTCAGTCTTTAGAAAAGCATCAATTTTTGTACAAACGCACGATTTTAGATGAAAGTAAGGTGTTACGTAAAAATTAAAAACGTTAGAAGCTCCAAATTAGCGTTAAAAGATAGGGAAATGTTCCTGAATATGACTATGTCCAGAGTCATTATTACTTGTGTGATCTCGAATGATTGCAAATGAGTATCAAAGTTTAAAAACAGTCCATGTACAAGGGTTAAATTAATTTCAATCTTTTTAAACTGATCTGTCTAAATACGAAGTCTGTGAGGTCTCTTGTTGTATCTCGATTGCTTTCTCTGTTCCTTATTCTTAGATTCACAGCAGAGCGGTCCAAAATCAGGTAATAGCGGTTGTTGCAATGCAAGAGATCGTTCACGCGAACTTTTACTCGACTGCCTCGAAGTGCAACTTCATGCAATTGAGTCTCTTTAAGGTTTAACGATAGTTCGGGAAAAAATAGGAACAGGCGTGTATATTTGATAGAAGAACTGCGTGTTTACTCGATAAAGTTTTACTACAGACTGATGATAGGAACGATGTTTGAAGTTAGCCAAATTGTTTAGGGATGGACACTTGAATTTCCCGATTTGACACGTTCTTGAAATGAAGAGGGCATTTTTCAAAATGGTGAGGTGACCGCATGCGATGTTTAAGTGTCCGACCAACGATTCGCAGGCAATATAACAAGGAAGCGCGTAGAATTTAAGAAAGGGAAAGAGGTATGCTAATGCCAAAAAATTCCGCGTCACTGGATTGTCCTCGATTACAATCGCACTGTTGCACTGCAACAGCGGTCAATTTATAGGGAGCGTGAATCCACGTTCAATCAGAATGATAGAATCATCGTTCTTTTCACGAGACGCTACCAACTTCTTTCATAAAGTAACCGAACATGATTCACCTTTTGATGCAGGCTATGGATAAGGAGAAGCCTGCCAAGTATTAGACGACTATCGATGATATCACAGCTCAAAGACGTTCATCTTCTTTCTGGTTGGTTTCAATACGTCCTCCATCTTGATGTGTTACATGGCCCACGAGTTGGCGCTTAATCCGAATGTTCAAGAGAAACTAAGGGAGGAGGTGGATCGATATATGGAAGAAGGAAACGGGCTGATTTCGTACGAGGCTCTCGTGAAAATGAAGTACATGGAAATGGTGACATCGCAGACATTTTCGAAAATATCCTCCGATGGTTTTCATCAACAGGTTGTGTGCGAAAGTTCCAATTGCCTCCAGCGGAACTCGGTTACAAGTATTTAATCGTATGTTCGGATAACATTGTGTGGTTTCCTGTTTACGCATTGCATCACGATCTTAAGTAATTCCCTGAGTCTGAGAAGTTCCAGCCAGAACGTTTCAGCGACGAGGACAAGAATAAGTCTCGCGTTTTGTCTTTTACTTTATTGATTAAGAGTGTGATGTGCAACAGTGCTATATATATATATATTGATTTTTCCATTTTAGAAGCGAAATATTTGCGACGATATTTATTGTTCGTACACGATGACGAAATTAAATTTAAGGTGGTGAATTTTCATTCAAACGCGCCACTCCATTTAAATATGAAATATGAATGTGAATTTTGATTTTATTATCACGATGTAATTAAAAATTGTGGAATCAATTGGCATTTCGATATCTCTAAATGTAAAAAATACAAACGAACAAAGATAAATATGTATATCTATCATTAAAGAAACCAAAGTATAGTTTCGCTTGGAAGATATCGGAGAAACAGAGGTAAGATTCATTTATCGGTTTTTTTATTTATCTCTGTTTAATATTTTAATTATCATTGATTGTGATGTATTACGACTATTTCTGTCTTTTGTATAATACTAATTTGTACTGATAATTAGAGCCTGTTGTTATTCGCGTCATGTAAATTCCTTATCCTAAATATACAAGCTGACTTTTGTAAAAATCCAAATTGAGTACCTGTTGAAAAATGCACCGAATGCGACAAACTTACGTTTACAGTTTGAGGGTACTGAGACTAGGGTAAAAACGTTTACAGTCTAAGGGTTAAATTATTGCAATTACGAACATTATGTATTATGGAAATTATATATGTAATTATGTTTGACATTTTAAACGATTTAATCAATATTAACCGTTCAATTATCTACTATATCGAAGAACTACTTAATTGCTGTAGGCAACTGTCTAATAACACATAAGAATTCCGGAGAAAACATTCGCCGATGGTCTGGGTACCTCTGTGGAGAAACTACTCATTCGGCGAGTGGAAAATCCGGTTTCAAATCCCAGTCGAGTAATCCGATTGGTCGAATATTTTTCTCTCTACATTGCTAAGCATTAATATGATGTATATTTTGTAAAAATTCGTACTGGATTATATTCGTTACTGAATTTATTGCTTTGATGTGAAACAACTCAACAAGTACTTACGAATTTAAATAGCGAAACTATTTCAAGTTAACGTTTTAATAAAATTAATGAGACAGGAAGAGCTATACCCAAGCTTCAAATTTCAAAGAAAATATTTGGTAAAGATCGTCTGGATTTTAATTTGTTTTTCCAACGTTCTTATTGAAATTCGCGAAGTTAGTCCCGATTTAAGCTCTTCAGCCGGTTAATACTAACCACAACACACGTTTAAAAACCTCTTGAATCCTATGAACTGAAGATCAAAATGGTTAAAATAAGAAAGATAAGAAGATCTGATTTGATTATTATGCATACAGTAACCTTTGTCATTAATTTTAACAAAATATATATTCCTACAACAGAAAACAGGATTTTCCCTCCAATTTAACTACCGATATATATATGGGGCTGCCACTAATCTTAAACTTAAAGGGCGTACGCGAGCTCCAAAGAAAGAGAAACTGAAGACCAAGAACCAAGAGATGGAAAACAAGAGAAGGCTACAGGGAGAAGTGTAAAACCTGGTGACCGACGAACAGAAGAAGGGAGGAAAGTCCAAGGGAGGAAAGGCTGGAAGAAATAGCCTACGGACTTTTGCACTCGCGCTTAAGCACACACACCACGATATCTTAAGCTACGATATTTCTCGGAGTTTTTCTAGGAAACCCGAGATTCGCGGCTCGTTAGCGCGTGGAAATCGCACAAAAATCGGCTGACTCGCCAATGCAACCGGCTCGAAAGAGAAACGAGAGGCTAAAGACGCCTGAGGAAGCCACCTGTGATCGTTAGACGAAAGATGAAATCGATACCTCGAATTTAGGGCGGAACCAAACGAAATACAGTGCGAATGGTGTTAATGCACTCTGATTGATTTGATTCTTTTTATCATCGTCTGATAACATTTTAAAACTGCATATTATCAAATATAGTATAATTTCGAATTATTTCATTAAAAATGACGAGGAACAAAGAAAAAGATTATTTTCAATAAAAGTCTGCAAATATCTTTATCTAATTATATTTATTATTTGTTTCTTAAATTACGTATCTGAAATATATTCACATTGTCTCAATGATATAAGATAAGTTACACAACAGTTTCAAGCAAGTATTAAAGTGAGATTATTTGAAAGATGATCAAAATACTTAGTCAAGTCGCAGTAAAGAATAGCACACCCTGTGAAGCTTGTAGTAGATGTGAAAGGGTGTGGAAATACGTAGCTTTCTATTGTATTGTGCATTGTTCTATTTATATTGTGCAAAATTAGCCCGACAAAATGATAGTACACGTTGTGTATTCTCACTTCTCAATTGAACACGAGCAAGTGTCAGTGAGTGATAGTTTAGAATGTAGTGTAGTGAGATATTATACGTAATTTGTAGAAAATAAGATGTGAAAAAATCCAACAGATCGAGAAATGTAAACGATTTTAATATTATCAAAAGGAAAATTTCTATTTTAAGATAATTACGAATAATTGTGAATATTACTATTTGCTTATAATCGTATTTATGATCGTATATATTATAAATACGAAAAACAAAGAAAATCACTAAAGCTGTCGGCAGAAGTGGAAAAGTTGTTGTTAATTTTTCTTATAATGCACAAAATTACGGCCGAAGGAAACATCATGGATGACCGAAAGTTTTAACAGTACGAAAGAAGCGTGCTATTTAAAGAGCAGCATAGAATTCATCGATAACTGCAAGGGAGATTGCTGAAGCTGCTGAAAACGAATATCAGAAATGTCCAAGGTATCCTGAAACAATGTAAGCATTTACAGCGAAAGAAACTGCAAAGGAAACCTCCTCTAACAGAGGCACATGAGAAGACAAAATTGTAGTTTGCGGAAGAACACGTGCACTGGAAAAAGAAATGCAGAAAAGTGTCGTTTACTGATGGAAAGAAATTTAATTTGGAAAGATCTGACGAGTGGAATTATTGTTACCCTGATATGCGAAAGGAAGCAAAAATTTTGAGCTGTCGTAGTGACGATGTGGGCCGATATTGTCTTTCATGGCGGAACAAATACAAAATTTATTCAGGGTAAACTGAACAGTAAAAAGTATTTAGAATTAATTTGAACACAAATTGGAACA